CGTGTGATTGATGCCGAACACGCAGCGGAGACGGTTAGCCGTCACACTAGGGAGTTCCAAGGGCCTCATCTCCGTTTATGCATTTGACCCAGATTCCTCGGCCGGATCCCGGATATCCAAACCCTTCCAGTCGCCCAGGTTTGATGGGCAGGATACTTAAGTTTGCAGGGTGTACCGGTTTTTCTCCTCCGTCCTTGGCGCGACCGGGCAGGACGTAAACAGACCCCTCTCCGGGGCCACGTGCAGCCCAGCCCGGCGGGGGCGCCCCCTTTCCCCGCGCCCGCACGCTTCCGCCCCTCCTCCGCTCTTCCTCGATATATTATTAAGGCTGTTAACACTTAGATGATTTTTTTAAAAAATTAAAAAGTCAAAGAGCTGCCTTGGAGAGGATGGCCCCTGGGTTTCACCCGTTAGCTGCCAACCTGTACGCCGTGGCACGGCGCTGTCTTCATCAAGATTCTGGGGGAGACCCGCGCTCTCCATCAGAGCCCCGTCCCCCGTAGGAAAGCGCTGGGCGTTAGGGGTTCTCTCCGCCGGTTGCTAGAAGCGCTAGAGGGCCAGGGTCCCGCTCGCGCCGTGGGTTTCCCCGCTGGCACGTGCGCGCGTGGAGATCGGCCCTTTATGTAACGCCGGGAAGGTACCTGCGTACGCGACCGCACCGGGGGCTCGCGGGCGGGCGTGGAGCGGGGCGTCCCGACACCCAGCGGGCAGCCACCGCCAAGCGGCTTCAGAAGTCGTGGCCCTGAGTTTGCAGGGTCTGGAAGTGGTGAACTGTGGCTCAGGAAGTTCCGTGCCCCGGTTCTCAGGAAGTCACATGCGCGCGCGTTTATAGGCAAGGGAGCGCTCTGAGTTTGGCTAGGCGCGGCAGGGTGTCAGATCAAGCGGTGATCCCCCAGACTCCCTGCATGGCTGCCAGCTCTGGTGTGTGTGTGTGTGTGTGTGTGTGTGTGTGTGTGTGTGTATGGGAGGGGGGAGTGACAACCACTTAAGTTCAGTGGGGAGGGAGCGAGGGATAAGGCCAACCCCCAAATCAAGTATCAGACGGGCCCAGGCTGGGGTGGGAGAGAGAAAAGTGCTCTGGGTCAGGAACTTGGGACCCTCCATTCCCCCACCCCACCCCAAACGTTAGAGCTGTGGCCGCTCTGACATAGCCAGCAAGTGCTGCAAGGCAGGAGGGCGCCCTGGAGGAGGAGGCGAGCGAGCGCAGCGGGAGCCCAGGCCGCGGGGGCGGGAAGGGAGAGGACTGGGCGGGGAACTCGGGTGACTCACGTCGGCCCTGTCCGCAGGTCGACCATGGTGGCCGGGACCCGCTGTCTTCTAGCGTTGCTGCTTCCCCAGGTCCTCCTGGGCGGCGCGGCCGGCCTCATCCCCGAGCTGGGCCGCAGGAAGTTCGCGGCGTCATCGGGCCGCCCCTCGCCCCAGCCCTCGGACGACATCCTGAGCGAGTTCGAGTTGCGGTTGCTCAGCATGTTCGGTCTGAAGCAGAGACCCACCCCTAGCAGGGACGCCGTGGTGCCCCCCTACATGCTGGACTTGTACCGCCGGCACTCCGGCCAGCCTGGCGCGCCCGCCCCGGACCACCGGCTGGAGAGGGCAGCCAGCCGCGCCAACACGGTGCGCAGCTTCCACCACGAAGGTAAGGCGAGGCGCGCGCCGCAGGGGCAGAGACGCGGGCGGGTTGCTACCCGCAACGCCGAGCACCAAGGCCGGCTGCGGGCATCCCTGGAGAGGCAGTTCAGCCAGAGCTCTGCGGATGCTGTCCCTCTTGCTTCCGTACCGACCTTTCTGAATCTGATTTTCAGGCACTGCTCGTGTGGCAGGCCAGCCAGGGATTCCCCCTTGGTCGGTCCGTACCCGTTTCCTGGCAAGCAGCCAGGAGGGCGACTCCTCCTCCAGGAACCAGAGCAGAATCAAGGGATGGGGAAGACGAGGCTAAAAGGCATGCCCCTGGTCAGCTAAGCGTGCAGGAATTCCGCAGTGGGAGAAGGAGGAGGTTTGGGATTTCTCGAAGTCTGTTTGGAAGCCCTTGCTCCATAAATCTGTGTCTCCAGCTTAAGCCAGGGTTTCAAGCTAGACTGAGGCAAGGGCGGAATTCTCAGATAGTCTTGAAAAATCAAAGCCCAGGGCCCCCAAGTCTTCCTAATTTACAGTGGATCTGGGCCTGCGTTGGAAGATTTCGAATCCCTATCTAATCCCCGTGGGAGATCAATTCCACAATCAATCTTATTGTTTCCACAATGACTTTCTTGTCTCGTGCTTAAATCTGAGATAGGCTCAGAGTAGAGACAAAGCAAGCCTTCAGATAAAACCTTTTGCAGCAGCTGCCTGTCTTCCTTCACATGCATTGAAATGTGATTTTTTTTTTTCTTTTATGATCCTGGATGTGGTTTTCCTAAGGTAGGATATTTCTGCTGGTTTCATCAGAAAGGCATTTAGTGGATTTGAAATGTCTTAGGGCAGCTATGGAGCTCTGTTGCACCTAACTTCTTAGCACCGTTAGTCAACTACATGCTACATTTCCATTCTTTTGTTCTTTTAAATGTGCCTTTGGCTTAATAGCTCTAAATACAGAATGCATTGCTGCGAATTCTAGAAAAGAGTGGAGTTACAGATCACAGAACAGCCACTTGCACTGACTGATGTTCCCTTTTCCTTGACGAAAACAATTTTCTCTCAGTGGGACGTTTTCAAGAACGATGGGTGATAATGAGAAGAAGTCCCAAAGGCAGGTCCCATCACACAAGGTACTTCTCATCCCAGCTGTCACAGTGAAGGGAGCTGGGAGCTGGTAGCACGTGTTCCAGCACATTTTGAAGTAAAGTGTTTTCTGAAGATCTGAGGATCAACATCTTTTTCTATCTGTTGAGAATTCAGCCACTGACAGCAGAAGTTTGTTGTTACAGGAGAAAGGTTTTCCTTCCTGTGTCTTCTGTCATGGTAACCATGAGATGACTACAGGTTCATCGCTTCCAGTTGACACAGATTAGAATAGTATTTCTGGATAAAAAGGGAATAGGAGTTAGCTGGATAGGTCTCCTCTTAACGTTCATTTTTAAGGCTAGGAAGGTATGGTGTCTTTCTCATAACTTTGAGAGGAAGATTATTTAAAAATCAAAAGCACCTGAGACTTTGACATGTGTAACTGTTTCAGCAATGAAGTGTGCCTGTGTCTTTTTCTAGAAATGGCTTGATCAAGACCTAAGCAGGCTACCCAGAATATAGTAAGTTATTTTTGGCCTTAACAGCCGGGGCTGGGTTGATCCGAAGCCAAGAGCCAGGAGCTTCTTCTGGGTCTCCCACATGTGTGCAGGGGCCCCAGGACTTGAGCCATCCTCCACTGCTTTTCCAGGCACACCAGTGAGGAGTTAGATTGGAATTGGAGCAGCTGGGACTCGAACCGGCACCCATATCACATGCTGGTGCTGCAGGCTGGGGCTTTAATCTGCTGCACCACAGCACCGGTGCTAACTGCTTGTGTTTTTAATGAATTTATGTGTTTCAAAGTGTCAATGCTATGTGCAGGCAATATAGGAGTTACCAGCTTGCTTACCAGCAACTTGCAGTAACTCCAGATCTTAATCAAATAGATGATAGAGAAAAGCTATGTAATTTTTGCCCCTGATGTCAACAAATCTGTTTCTTTTCTCATTATGACTCTCATCGGTCTCTCATTAGGCCAGATGAAGCACATTTTGAGGACTGTTCATTGTTGTGTAACCCAGCACTTGGTTTTTTTAAGCATCCTTGTGCCATGCATGGGACTAAAAATTTTTTAGTAAACCATGTGATGAAGGCTGCTGGCTCAAGAGCAGAATGTAGTCTAAGAAGCATTCATGGACATTTATTTGGTAAAGGACCCAAAGACACGCCTGTAGGAATTAACCTGGTGTGTGTGTGTGTGTGTGTGTGTGTGTAGGGGGATTGGATGGATTGATGTAATCACAAGGTAAGCAATGTCATGATGAAGTTCTTTCAGTCAATCAATGAGTATGATGGGACCTCACAATAAGGTGCTTCAGAACAAAATTATCACTTGTCATTTTTCCTCTTGTAGTTGGTCTGATCTTTTCTACAACAACTTTTATCCTGGAGAGAAGAGGCTTTGCTAAAATTCTGTTTTTTTTTTTTTTTTCAAAGTCATTAAAACACACACATCCACCACATAGCCCTTTCAGAACTGCCATTGAGGGTAGAAAAATTAGTTCTTCAACTGGAAAGCGTGTGTTATTTCTCTGCTGCTGTTGGCAACACTTTGAAATTAGTTGACTGTTCCTACAGCAAAAGTCTTCATGCTTTGCAGTCAGGCTGGGATATGAGGGTGGCCGGTCCATAAGCTGATTCTCCAGACATGGCCTGAACTGACTGAATTATTGGCCTCTATGTCTAAAACTTTCAAGTAGAGATGAGCTCTGTTACCATAAATATGTGTTATAATATCCATATAATAGTAAGCATCAAGAAACAATCTTTTCCTTGTGAAGAAAAAGATATATCAACAATCCCAGTACAGATTTGAATATATAGTCACCCCCTAGGTCACCCCCAAGCCCTGGTACTCGCCTGCTGGGCATCCTTGGTGTCCCTGGGTACTTCAGTGTGATTGCTTGTTGAGGGCAAGGCTCTGGAGCTCGGTGCTAGCCCTGTTGTTTTCTTTTCCACCTCTTTTTCTAGTGGTTCCTGTATACTCTCATATTGTCATATTGAGCTGTTTTGTGTTTTTTTTTTTTTTAAAGCTGTCCTTTATATGGTCCAAGAAGTAGTCAGATGATAATAAGAGGGCACCAGAGCATTCCTGAAGAGCTGGAGCTAAGTGACCAGGCTCTCTCTCTCTCTTTAGTTGCCATTTCCTCTGTGGTCTTTTAAAAATATTTTTCTTTTAAGTATTTCCTATTTTGTCTCTTGTAACTGCATCAGTTCTCTAACCATGATTCTTATCTTCTGGAAAATCTTGTGTATCAGTCCCTATCATTTTGTTTTAGAGCCATAATTTCCAGTGCTACTCATTGGCCAAGTAAACTAGATTCTGTTGATTTAATGGGATTTTTTTTTCATTGTCTGCAGAGTCAAGCAGAATTCTCAGAGCACAGTAATGCTTTATCTTTTTTTTTTTTTTTTAATGAAATTTAGTGTACTTGGGGACAAAAAGACAGCCACAGAAAATAGTGGTCCCACAGCCCAGAGGGCTTGTCCACTTGCCTTGCTGCTCCTTTAGTTCTGCCTGCTGTCTCCACCTACCTGGGAGGTGGTACCTTTCTCTCCCTTCATTTAGGACAGAACTCCCCTCACGGCTGTCATGCCATTCAACATCCCTGTGCCCCTAGTGGTTTTGACTCCTCCCCCCGTTAGATGTTGCCATCTGTTGGCTAAAAAAGTGAATCACCGCAGTAGGCTCAAGTTCGCAGCTCTGCTTAGCAAAGTTGCTTTGACGTTGCTTAGTGCCAACTGTTTTATTTACAAAATGGAGATAATCGTAGTTTCTCTCTAATCAGTTTGTTGTGAGATAATTAATATAAAGCCATTGGTGCCAGACCAGGCATGAGGAAAGCACTTTGCACATTAGCTCTCATTATTGTGATGACTTCTTTTTATTAATATCATGTTTTCTCCTTTCTCTATGGAAGAGGAGCCAGTATGGACCCGAGTAGGCTGAGCAGCTTCAGCCCAGTCTTATTTTGAGGTAGATGAAGAAATGACATCGTGCAGATATATGAATGAGAACCTCGCTTTTGAAGGAGGGGTTTGAATGTCCTTGTTGCCTTATTTTTCTGCATTTCACCCTATTTTTTCAGTCAGAGCTCCATGCATTTGGTTAAGAACCTAGAGACTCACTCACTCACGTGGCAGATAAGTCAGAAAGCTCAACTCCCTTAGCAAGTTTGCTTCTTGGGGTATTTAGAGAGAATTAACAATGGAATGAGCCTTCAAGAAAGCGTACGTTACCTGTTTGGGTAAATGCACTATATGGGTATTTTCAGAATTGCTGAGCTTGCTGGAGAAGGTGTTTTGCTTTACTTTATTTCAAATAGGGTTTGAATTTTCCACCCTCAAGAAAAGGTGATACTCCTCCTTTGGAGGAGGACCGGGATGAAGTGGTATGTGGGCTAACCTGGGACAGTGGTTTTCCTGGGTGGGAGGTTTATAGGAACCTTAGACTTACCCTTCTGACCTGACCTTGCAGTCATGGGTGCTGAAATGGGCACATTTGTGTTAGGGTGGGCTGGGGTCTTTGGGCAATAGGTTAACTGAAGCTCAGTTTACAAGTTGGAGAAAGGTTTTCATGTTACCTGTTTGATTTAATAATGCAAAATTTCTCCTTTGTTAAGGCAGCTTACTTCCAGTGAGATTTTGAACCACATGGAATTATTGTTCTCTGTGTTTCTGGTGTAATAGTGGCAATTTTATTTGACTCAGTCTTATCTTTATTTTTTGAAGGGCCACTGTCTTATTTTATGCCTCTATTATACAAATGTCTTTCTGACTTTATTTACCTGTCTTTCATACTTCCCTGGGATATTGTCGCTTCATTTTTATCCTCTGGCTATTTGTGTGTGAGGTGTGTGTATGTGGTGTGTATGGTGTATATGTTGTGTGTGTGA